AGCAAATAATCCAATTAAAAAATGGGCAGAGGAGCTGAACAGACAGTTGTCCAAAGAAGATATTCAGATGGCCAACAGACGCATGAAAAGATGCTCCACATTGCTAGTCATCAGAGAACTGCAAATTAAAACCACAATGAGATCACCTCACACCAGTAAGGATTGCCACCATCCAAAAGACAAACAACAACACATGCTGGTGAAGTTGTGGAGAAAGGGGAACTCTCCTACACTGCTGGTGGGAATGTAAATTAGTTCAACCATTGTGGAGAGTAGTATGGAGGTTCCTCAAAAAGCTCAAAATAGACATACCATTTGACCCAGGAATTTCACTTCTAGGTATTTACCCTAAGAATGCAGCAGCCCAGTTTGAAAAAGACAGATGCACCCCTATGTTTATCGCAGTACTATTTATAATAGCCAAGAAATGGAAGCAACTTAAATGTTCATCAGTAGATGAATGGATAAAGAAGATGTGGTACATATACACAATGGAATATTACTCAGCCATAAAAAGAAAACAAATCCTACCATTTGTGACAACATGGATGGAGCTAGAGGGTATTGTGCTCAGTGAAATAAGCCAGGTGGAGAAAGACGAGTACCAAATGATTTCACTCATATGTGGAGTATAAGAACAAAGAAAAACTGAAGGAACAAAACAGCAGTAGAATCACAGAACCCAAGAATGAACTAACGGTTACCAAAGGGAAAGGGACTGGGGAGGATGGGTGGGAAGGGATTGATAAGGGTGAGGAATAAGAAAGATGGCAATACAATTAGCATGTATAATGTGGGGGCGGGGGCATGGGGAGGGCTGTGCAACACAGAGAAGACAAGTAGTGATTCTACAGAATCTTAGTATGCTGATGGACAGTGACTGTAATGGGGTGTGTGTGGGGGACTTGGGGGAGGGGGGAGCCTAGTAAACATACTGTTCTTCATGTAATTGTAGATTATTGATAACAAAATAAATAAATAAATAAATAAATAATAATAATAATAATTCAAAAGAAAAAAAAGCTTCTTTCAGTGAAAGAAAGAAAGCATGGCTCTTATTTTCAGTGCTAGCTCCACTGCTCAAGCTCCCAGTCTCAGCCCTCAACTATTGGGTAATTCATAGGACCCCATCCCTTTTCTGTCTGGCATCTCCAGACTTTTGCTCACTAGTAGCCAATTTTGTTTTCATATTTATGTAGATTCACCCTGTCATCTCCTTCAAAAATTTATCTTGAGTCTTTTGTTCCTGTTCCATTCCTTTCCTTCCTTTATCTGTCATATTCCTCATGATCTCATACCTGCTCCTATTCCTAATACCATTTACTTCAGTAATCCCTTGCAATTTGATTTTTAATAACCTATTCAATGAAAATGTGCAGACTGCCAGGTGACTTTCTTCTAATAATATTCAGCAGCATTTCCTCACTTCATTTTCATAACATTTTCCTTCATTTAATAAAATTTATGGGTTCATAAATCCCTTCTTCCTGTGGTGTCCATGAAACAATGGTATTCAACCTCCCATCCACGACTGTGTGAATCCATTAATACTGTATTTTGACTTTCACTCTCTTTTTACTTCCTCTAAACTACATATCCCTATACCTTCCAAAATCACCAATTTGGGTTCTCAAGTTAGTGAATTAACAATTTCTGATCAGTTTCCAACTTACCAAATCCAGCATCTATTTATTTGTCTTAAGATTCTTTGCCATTGCAATTCTCATCTCTACGCTTGGACTCATATAGCATAGCTCATGTGGAGTGCCAATATAAATCCAATGTGCCCACCCTTCAAGGTCAGTTAAAGTCCTACTTCTTTCATTAGACCTTTGCCAAGCATTGCAGTACATTAAAGCCTTTCTCTAAAACCTCATTAGACTTGTGGCCTGCTTGACAAAACAGTGCCTTCTAATCATCTCAAGTTACCTCAGATATGTAGGCCTGTTTTATAAACTATCCCTCTGAAAGCATGAACATGTTTTTCTTTCCTGATGGCCCAGCAGTACACTGAGCATAGAGAAGTTGTTTAATGAACTTGATTAATGGCTTAATTCTAAACAAATATTGTAACAAGTAATGACAGTAATTTCATGGCATTGAAAACTCTTTTTTGAGTGAAACTTGGATTTTTAATGGACTACTAAGGACACCAGCAGTATGGTACAGTGACTAAGAGTATGAGCTCTGGGGTCAAATTCTGGGTCTATCACCTATTGGCTATGTGACCTTGGGAAGGTTAATTAATATTTTTGCACTGTAATTTCCCTCCTTGAAAACAGGAACATAACAGTATCTCACTGATGGAGTAATTATGAAGACCAAATGAGTCATACTTAAAACAATTTCTGGCATGTAGAAATCACTCCATGAATGTCAACCATTATTAAATGCTCATTATGCATAGAGTAATATCTCAGAGCTAAAAGAACCTTTGCTTTGTAAGTGAATGAGTTGATGAATAAAGGTAAAATGATGTTGGCTCAAGGCCATATGTTTAATAAGAGGCAAAGTCAGGAAACTAATTCTTCTGACTTCCATTCAGTGTTTGTTTTATTCCTTCCCAAGGATTCTATACCTAAACATGGAACTGAATTTTAGAAGTTTAGGTTTGAAAGGGACATTCAAGGCTCTTAGTTTCATCTTTTCCACAAGGGATGATACGGCATGATCACTTGTCACATGTCTTTTATCTTTGCTTTCAGCACCGTTTCACATATTCTTAACTGCCCAGAGAAAAAAGATCCTAACAGATCCTGCACCATTATTCCCAAGAAACACATGAGGAATAGGAATGCATGCCAAGGTCAGGTCTCCTGAGTTCAATGACCATTGCTAGATGAAGCCACTTTTCATGTCCATCTTCTGAAAAAAATATTTCTTTTGCAGGGAAAACATTGTCTGGAATACTCATTATGAAGCTGTGATTCAGGTCATCCCACACATACATGAGTGTTTTGCAGACAGTATGCTTCCTGGTAGGAATATGAAATTATGATTTTGATGAACTCTGAACAAAACTCTCCAGCAGCCAGAAAAAGGCACAAGGGCCAATATTCATACCAGGCATAATTACTAAAGGTTTCAGCCTTCTGTGTGGTTCTTTGGAACAGTACTCAGCTTAGTTGTGCAATCGGCTCTGCTACAGTATTAAAATTCAGTCTAGCAAATACAGACTCTCAAGAGGAACTGCAGCAATAAAATACTGCTATTAAACAAACACAAACCTGTGTCTAAGGAATCTCTCATCAGATGCAATAGCATGCTATTCTCTGTCTCAATTCAGTGCTGAGAGAAGAGGATGAATTTCTCCTTAATGCAAATGAATAGTCATTTGTAACAGCAGCAGCAAGGGAGAAGGCTGACTAAGTAATTGCATTATGTGTCCACAAAGAATGCACATCTTTACCCACCACTCTCTACCCTACAAACAAAACTCAGGGAATTTTTGTTCTCTGTGTGTGGTTATTTAAAATGCCTCATTGTAGCATATGGACTCTGAGCTTTATGGCTTGGGATTTTAACCTTCAAAACAAGGAGGTCCCATTACTTAGATCTGAAAGTTGAGTTACCTTCCTTATACTGAAGACTGAACAACCTCCACTGATTCCACAGAGGATGCACCTTGAACATATTTTTCTTCTCACTTCTGAGAACTCTTGGCTCTGAAGCATGAAAAAGAAATGCTTGACAGATTGATACTATATTTTAGATAGCTATGTAAACAATAAGGGAGTACCTAGAAATCATTTGTTGAATTGTAATGTTATAAAAATTTGTAGAGGACTCTTTTGAGCTCTCTTGTTTAAGGAGACCCAACCATCTCACTGGGGCAGAGGAATGGAAAAAACTCAGAGGAATGACTGGGAGAGTATCCAAGAAAGACTGCTATGCCTTCTAGGAGAAAGAGCCAGCACCCAAGTTCTATCTCCAGGATCTAGTAAGCATGTTTGGATCATAGCATTCCAAAGGCCTATCTTTCCTCTTTAACAATTTTTCTGAGAAGTTGTCAGTTTGATGTTCAAGAAACATTTAGTTCACACCCATTAGGCCCACATTAGGCTATGTGATTTGCAGGGTCTAGTCAAAAATAAAAATGCAGGGCCCCTTCCCTTGTTCAAAAATTACTGAGAATTTCAAGACTATGACAGTAGAACATTAAGGCAAGTATGGGCTCTTCTAAGCACAGGGCCCCATGTGACCACCTGGGTCTCACATCTATGAAGCCAGCCCTGTTCTGTCTTCAAAGGTAGTCCAGCAAAAGAACTGTACTGAGTAGAAGTTACAATTCAGGTATGTACAAGGGCTGCGGGAACCCAGAAGTTCTTAACTTCCTAATATTGTCCTAGGGAAAGTGACAGTTATGTTCATTTTTGAAGGAGCAGTGGCAGAGAAGAAAGAAATTCCAGACTGAAGGGAGAAATCACTTGACAAATTTCAGGGAAAAGGTTACTTTTAAGGAGGCTGGAGCAAGCAAGCATGGGGGTAACATAATGGAAATGTGGAAAGAAGCAGAAGCCAAATATATTGGGGAAGAGGTTGAACAATTATTGAGTGCCCACTGTATGCCAAATTCTTTTCCCCATGCCATAATTTAAAACAATCTTAACAAATAAATTGTCAGGCCTATTACAAACATCTTAGTTAAGGCCCAGCACCGTAATGTTCAAAGTATTTGAGCACATGAGGCAGCCAATGAATATCTGAGAATGACCAGTGGGTCTGATTTAAGACCCCAGACTCTTAAACCGCAGGGCAAGCTGATTGGAAGCATGCTTTTAACCCCTCCTGTTGCTCTAAAGCCCGGAGGTACCCTTCCTTCGTCCCGCCCCTGGGCTTTCACGTGCCGGAAATTGGGCACGAAAAGTACTTCCGGGATAGCAGAGGTCAGCCCCAGCAAGATGGCGGCCCCCTTGGAGCTCACTTGCTGGGGAGGCGGCTGGGGGCTCCCATCAGTACACAGCGAGTCCCTGGTGGTGATGGTGAGGACGCCCGCGGGCCAGGGCGTGGGACAGAGGGGCGGGGCCAGAGGCGCGAGGCTGGTAGAGCCAGGGCTCCGAGGCTTGCAGCGGTTTCCCGCGGCGGTTCCCCGCGGTGCTTCAGGGCCGAGACTGGCGGGGACGCTGCGCGCTGCATCGCCCTAGGCTCCCTCCCATCGAGGATTCACCGCTTGGCCTGTGACCCCGCCGAGGACGTCGGGGAGTGGTGGCTTATTAGCTTGGCTCCGGGTTTTCTCAGCCTTGCAAACTGTCTGGGAGGTGGAATGAAGGTCCGAAGCAGGGGGCGCGCGCGTCCCACTGCATTCCCCTGACCTTTTATGGAACAAAGTCCCTGAAAGTCGCGTAGCTGGCGCAGGCACGCGCCCACCGGGCTAGGGATGAGGGGAGGGACGCCGGGACCACTGTCAGGCATTTCTGCTTTCGGGCACCCGACTGTGAAGTTAAATTGCTCTACAGATTTGCATTACATACTCAGGATAAACTATTTTACTATAAATTCTGTTTCAGGCTTACGCCAAATTTTCTGGTGCACCCTTGAAAGTCAGTGTCATAGATAACACCTGGAGAGGTTCAAGAGGTATAGTGTAAACTTTTAAACACCCCTTTCTGCCCACTTTAAGTGCCCCCCACCCCCCACCCCATGCAATGAGGCTTATAGCCAGGGAGTACCTTGGGGTTTTAGTTTCTTCTTACCATGACCTTGGCTGTGTATTGCTTATGGTTTGATCATTCTGAGTAATACTTCAAAATACAAGCCAAATCAGTGGAAATTATGAGGAATAAAATGTTCTGTAGAAGTGTTCTTTGTGAAATTGCAAAAAACGAAGAGGAGCTTACTCATTTTTTCCCCTCCAGATGTGCAATTGGTATAGTTTTAGGGTATTGGAATCTCTTCAGAGGAAATCAAATTGTTTCTTTGTATGTAGACTGTTTTTTGATTATAGGAGATGTACCAATTTTGACAACCGAAGACAACATTGTTTCTCAGCCAGCAAAAATACTAAACTTTTTAAGAAAACAGGTGGGTGGTTCTTTTTGAAGAAGTAGATTGTTGATCCTTGCATGTTACTTATAAAAAATAAATTGTAAGATTTTGGGTCTATTTTTAGAATTTTTTTTGCCAACTGAGTAGACAATTGGGAGATATCTGGAGTTTGATATAAACATAGACTTGAGAATTACTGCCCTAAATCATGAATTGCACTATAATTTGAAAGTCAGCATAAGTTGTACTGTAATTTGAGGTATAGTCAATTTATATTTTCCTGCACTTTGCTTGGATTTTATTGAAGTTTAGATTAAGCAGATTCAATTTAGCCATCATGATTATTACACTTACTGATAAAATTGTCAGTTTAGTCACTACACATTTTGTGCTGTATAAGACATAGATGAGTTTCCACCAAATAGTAACTTTTTATTTTTTAAAAGCGCTTAACTGGTCATTACAGTTAAATATGTCATGAAGTGATGTATTGAAAATATTTAAACATGTAAAGATTTATATAAATGCAGAAGTTATAATTGCTTTTGCCAATATTTTAAAACATCCTTTGTTAACAAAATTTAGAACTTCATGAAATTGAAGTTTTTTGTTTTCACAGGGAAAAACTGTAACCAATTAGAACTTTTTTATTATTTTTAACAAAAATAATAGCTTCTGCTTATTAATTTTATGCTGCATGCCATGCTCTAAACCAAAGTAGGTCATTGTCAAACATTGAAATATCAGTTAATAAAAAATCATAACCAAGATTTTTTTACCTTACTGTATGTGCAGTGCTCTAAGAACTTTTTCACATTAGCAGCATTTGTCACTAAATTTGTATGTCTCTTTTCCCCTTTTAATAGCATGTCTGCCATTTTTGAGGAAGAATAGGAATCCTAATTTATTTAGCTTCAGTATTTTGGGGATGCTCTTGACTTATGAGGTTTTCTGGTTTAATATTTTTTTAATAGAAATATAATGCTGATTATGAACTTTCAGCAAAACAAGGGGCCGATACACTGGCTTACATTGCTCTCCTTGAAGAGAAGCTTCTTCCTGCAGTGGTGAGCATTGGTGAATATTACAATATTTTAGTGGCCTACTGAAAATATACTTAGTCTAGTTAGAAGAAAAAATAATGAAAAAGGTTTAAGAGATGAAATTTCATTTGTATATTAATCTTGATTTTTTCATGTTACTATAAAACTGGATTCTGTTGGACATTTAGCTACTATGTGCAACAAGAAAGTGAAAGATAATGTCATTTTGGAAATAAAAATTCTCTGAGGAAGATGGAGTTTGTTGCTGTGTATTTAGGATTGGGCGAACTGTAATTCATTCATTCAACAAATTATTGAGTACCAACTTTGTGCCAGGCCTTGTTCTGGGTGCCTGGGATGTAACATCAAAAAACCTCACATATTTAAATCTTGTTTTATTCTTAAGTCATTCTAACTGGGAAATTTATATGAAGACACTTTATACAAAGATATTTTTTAAAAACTTTCATATTGATTGAGCTAGCTTTCTTTTAATAAAAGAACAACCTTGTAGTGTTTTTTTTCCTCCTTTTCAGCTTCACACATTCTGGGTGGAGAGTGACAATTACTTTAATGTGACAAAGCCATGGTTTGCTTCACGAATTCCTTTTCCCTTGAGTTTGATCCTGCCTGGAAGAATGTCTAAGGGAGCACTGACTAGGATCCTCCTGACCAGAGGAGAGCCTCCCCTCTACCACCTCCGAGAAGTGGAAGCACAGGTAAGGTCAGGATTACTTGGAGAGCAAGGCTGCTCCAGAGAAGGGACAGGAGTCATAACAGACAGGAACTTATTTATAGATGCCTGCCTACAGAGGAGTTCTAGAGCATCTTCCATACCTTAGAGATGTACTTTCATCTTTATTAGATATACAGAGATGCCAAGGAGTGCCTAAATCTTCTGTCAAACAGATTGGGAACGTCTCAGTTTTTCTTTGGAGATACGTGAGTGCATTCCCTTAAAGATCATTTTGATATTTTGTGTGCATATATTCAGAGAGCAGTTACTGAAATCAAGTCTCCTTCTCCCCACCATCGCCAACACCCCATCCTCCTAAATGAGTTTTTCACTTAAAAATTGTTTTTAATGATTTTTACTATATGAAACTTTTTCTGTTGGTGGTAATCTAGCATTGACATAATAGGCTGCATATTGAACTTAAAACTTCTTAGGACTTTTCCCACCCTGTTTCCAGTCTCTATATAACACTTGGGAGTAAAATTGAATCCTTATTGAAAACCTAATTTTGTCTTAAATAAAATATAAGTTGGCCTTTGAATAACTTGAGGGTAAGGAGCCCTTGCTGTTGAAAACCCTAATATAACTTCTGACTCCCCCAAAACATAACTACTAATAGCCTACTGTTGACCAGAAGCTACACTGATAAACAGTTGATTAATACATATTTTGTATGTTATGTGTCTAATATATTATATTCTTACAATAAAGTAAGCCAGAGAGAAAGAAAATGTTTTTTCAAATTGTCACAAATTTCCAAAAAATTTTCTAATATATTTATTGAAAATAATCCACGCATAAGTGGACATACACAGTTCAAGCCTGTGTTGTTCAAGGGTCAGCTGACAATGGATACAGTACTGTATTAAGAAAAGTGCTAATGAGTAAAACATTTTTATAAGTAACATTTTTATAAGCAAAAGCGGGTAGTAAGCCTTTTAAAAAGTATTTGTCAGAATTGACAAATGTATTTGAGAAACAATTTTTTGAACACAGTCCCATTAGTACTTCCTTATGTGCTTTTAAAAAATCCTTAATTTATTTTTAGGCCTTCTACCTTGGATGCCTATGTGTTTGGTTTTCTTGCACCTCTTTATAAAGTTCGCTTTCCTAAAGTTCAGTTGCAAGAACATTTGAAACAGCTCTCCAATCTCTGCCGCTTCTGTGATGACATCCTAAACAGTTATTTTAGGCTTAGTCTTGGAGGTAAGCCACTTTTCAGCTATTGTTTGCATAAAGTATTTGCATATTTTCCAAATGATACATATAAGCAAAATTCATTAAAGAAGTTTGTGTATTGTCTTGAAATGCTGGTTTATAGTGCTTCAAAAAGTTGCATTTTTTCCAACTTTATTTTTAGTCTCATGTATATTAATCCTTATTTAAATAAATATTTGCCTTTTGTTTAGTCTTTTAGATTTTATACATTTCTAGTTTCTTGTTCTTTTTTAAATATTGCCCTTTGGAAGTGGGTCATTTTCTTCTAAAAGTTAACCACAGGTATTTATTGAATCCCTGCTGAAAGATAGCACCTATCCTAATACAAATGGGCAATTATTTTAAATGTTGCTTCTAGCACTTTCCTGCGTGAACAGAAAGCAGCAGCAGATTGATTTTGGTGAGGTACACTCCCATGATTCCACTTCTTGAAAACTGATTGCATCAGACTGGAGGTATAGTAAATAGAGGGCACCTGTCACTTAGGATGGTGCTTTGGGAGCGTGGGCCTTGTGCTTCCATGATCGGGATGCTGACTTTTTATTGTGAGAGTTGGAAGAAATTGTTCTTTTAAGGAACAGAAGTTATAAGGAAACTTGCTTAGAGACAGTGTATTTTTTTTATGGTGAGTTATGTGTTTTGTATATAGGGAGGGGCTAGTAATTTGAGAGTTATAGAATTAAGTAACTTTCAGCCTTGTCATTTTGGAGCAGTACTCAGCAAACCTGACTGTAGGACAGATACAAAATCTTGGGTCTTTACCAGATTTACTGAATTAGACTCTCTTAGGGATAGATTTTAGGAGCCCATATATTTTTTAAGTCCCTCCAAATACCTTGAATGCCTGGTGGATAGCTGTCTGGGAGTCACTGTGTTAGAAAGCTGTCCAAGTAACTGTAACTAAATACTATTTGGAATGGGTGGGGAAAAGTTAAGACTCAAATTTGAGAAGGAACTGAGGACTGCTGTGCACTTTTACTAATTATTTTGGCTAGCTGCTTAACACTTGGCTAACAATGTCTGCTTAGTGGACAAATTTAGTCCTTTTGTTTAGGGTTTGGTTTTGGAGCATTACTATTCCTCTTAACTTTGCCTTTCAACACTGAATGATAATTTTCTCTTTGCCCTTTTGGATTTTTTTTTGTTTTGTGTTGGAGGGTGGGGGCACTTGGGAAAGTGGATAGACTGAAAATTCTTCCAATATAAACTGCTTTAAAGGCTTTCAAAATTTTCTGTCTTTCTGATTTCTATCCTGGCTTAGGCATCTCTCCTGCTGGACAAGAAACAGTAGATGCAAATCTGCAGAAACTCACACAGCTTGTAAATAAGGAATCCAACTTGATTGAAAAGGTCAAGTTTACTTCAATCATTATTTTATAGTAGTTTACTATATTCCCTTCTGCAATTAATGTCATAATTTGGGTTATTCATTAACTTTACCATCTTTAAGTTTTTTTTAAAGAGTTTGGTTCTTCAGAAAGCTGTTTCATATGCGTTTACTAAAGTTGCATACAGCATAGCGTTTGAAACCAGTAGTGGCCTAATTGCTTTGAGGAAAGATCTGAATACTGGGTTTACTCTACCACACAATTAGTATTTTTCAAGTTAGGAGACCCAGAAGCCCAGATTAAAAAAAAAAAAAAGGATAAAACAGGAACACTTTTTGCCTGTTTCTCTGTTTCTGAAGGCTAACATCTCTTGGGATTGTAAGCACTGTGCTCATCCTTTCTGTTACTAATACTGTGATGTCTTTTTCTGTGAACAGTTTTATTTTTTCTCCTTCCTATTCTTCTGTATTCTAGATATTGTCTACAATTTTGTACCATTGTGGATATTTTGCCACTTTGGGGGTGTTCATTTGGTGTGAGAGGTATTGAGGAACTGGGTAGGAGAGAGAGCCAACAAGGGAAGTTTCTAGGGTGATATTAATTGGAAAAAGATAAGAGAGTTATGCATTTTCCCTCCAAGTATCTGATATAATTGCCTTTTTAAAAATACAAATGAATAATACTTCATTCTTTCACAAACTAATGGGGCAATGTGGTCTGATAATACTGGCTAGCAGTTTTTCAGGTCTGAGTAACAGACCCTGTGTTATATGAGCTTTATGTGAGTTATCTCCCTTAATCTTCACAACAGCTATGTGTGAACAGGTACTTTGTCATCCCCATTTTACAGATGAGAATACTTAGGCTTTGAGAGTAGCTTATGTCACTTGCTCACGGTCATTCAGCTGGCAAGAGGTAGGGAATTTGAACCCTATAAATTGAATTCCAGCATGGGCTTTGCAGTTAGTCAGTCATCTAACTCTGAGTGAGATTATGTATCCTTTACTAGTACCCTGACCCTAATAGTTAGGTTTATAACTGCCATTCACTGGAATAATCATTCTTTTTATAGTATTTCATGTGTTGTTAAAACTTAAGAAATGAGTAAAATTAAGCAGCATAATTGTAAGACTCCATTATTAAACTTTGGGTAAGCTGAATGAAAGCAAGTTTGTCTCCATTCTTAGCCCAACCCAGTAGATCTTATGAGAGGAAATATATTCAGTAGTAATGTGGAAAATGGAAAGATTACTCAAGACTGTTTTAGACACTTACCTGTTAGATGAAGGCCATCTAATATAGTCTTCATTTTCTATATGGCAAATTCATGACAGATAAGTAAAGAGAACCGTATGCAGGAAGTGAAACCAAGAGGCCCTGTCACCACTTTCTACATTTCCATCTTCGGTCATCATTAATATATGAGAGAGTTTCTGACCCTGTATCAGGCACTCCCCACCTCCCATTCATATCTGCTCTTCAGGATGTTTCACTGTTTGCTACAAGACATTAAAGCAACAATTCCTATTGGCTATCACTGTTCACCATTTGGACAAAATCTAGAGCTTAAGAAAAGACTTATGCTTGAGGAACTTAGTTTTTGCAAGGAAAAAAAAAGACATCTTAACACGATTGGTACAATTCCAACAAAGATATTTTTTAAAAACTTTCATATTGATTGAGCTAGCTTTCTTTTAATAAAAGAACAACCTTGTAGTGTTTTTTTTCCTCCTTTTCAGCTTCACACATTCTGGGTGGAGAGTGACAATTACTTTAATGTGACAAAGCCATGGTTTGCTTCACGAATTCCTTTTCCCTTGAGTTTGATCCTGCCTGGAAGAATGTCTAAGGGAGCACTGACTAGGATCCTCCTGACCAGAGGAGAGCCTCCCCTCTACCACCTCCGAGAAGTGGAAGCACAGGTAAGGTCAGGATTACTTGGAGAGCAAGGCTGCTCCAGAGAAGGGACAGGAGTCATAACAGACAGGAACTTATTTATAGATGCCTGCCTACAGAGGAGTTCTAGAGCATCTTCCATACCTTAGAGATGTACTTTCATCTTTATTAGATATACAGAGATGCCAAGGAGTGCCTAAATCTTCTGTCAAACAGATTGGGAACGTCTCAGTTTTTCTTTGGAGATACGTGAGTGCATTCCCTTAAAGATCATTTTGATATTTTGTGTGCATATATTCAGAGAGCAGTTACTGAAATCAAGTCTCCTTCTCCCCACCATCGCCAACACCCCATCCTCCTAAATGAGTTTTTCACTTAAAAATTGTTTTTAATGATTTTTACTATATGAAACTTTTTCTGTTGGTGGTAATCTAGCATTGACATAATAGGCTGCATATTGAACTTAAAACTTCTTAGGACTTTTCCCACCCTGTTTCCAGTCTCTATATAACACTTGGGAGTAAAATTGAATCCTTATTGAAAACCTAATTTTGTCTTAAATAAAATATAAGTTGGCCTTTGAATAACTTGAGGGTAAGGAGCCCTTGCTGTTGAAAACCCTAATATAACTTCTGACTCCCCCAAAACATAACTACTAATAGCCTACTGTTGACCAGAAGCTACACTGATAAACAGTTGATTAATACATATTTTGTATGTTATGTGTCTAATATATTATATTCTTACAATAAAGTAAGCCAGAGAGAAAGAAAATGTTTTTTCAAATTGTCACAAATTTCCAAAAAATTTTCTAATATATTTATTGAAAATAATCCACGCATAAGTGGACATACACAGTTCAAGCCTGTGTTGTTCAAGGGTCAGCTGACAATGGATACAGTACTGTATTAAGAAAAGTGCTAATGAGTAAAACATTTTTATAAGTAACATTTTTATAAGCAAAAGCGGGTAGTAAGCCTTTTAAAAAGTATTTGTCAGAATTGACAAATGTATTTGAGAAACAATTTTTTGAACACAGTCCCATTAGTACTTCCTTATGTGCTTTTAAAAAATCCTTAATTTATTTTTAGGCCTTCTACCTTGGATGCCTATGTGTTTGGTTTTCTTGCACCTCTTTATAAAGTTCGCTTTCCTAAAGTTCAGTTGCAAGAACATTTGAAACAGCTCTCCAATCTCTGCCGCTTCTGTGATGACATCCTAAACAGTTATTTTAGGCTTAGTCTTGGAGGTAAGCCACTTTTCAGCTATTGTTTGCATAAAGTATTTGCATATTTTCCAAATGATACATATAAGCAAAATTCATTAAAGAAGTTTGTGTATTGTCTTGAAATGCTGGTTTATAGTGCTTCAAAAAGTTGCATTTTTTCCAACTTTATTTTTAGTCTCATGTATATTAATCCTTATTTAAATAAATATTTGCCTTTTGTTTAGTCTTTTAGATTTTATACATTTCTAGTTTCTTGTTCTTTTTTAAATATTGCCCTTTGGAAGTGGGTCATTTTCTTCTAAAAGTTAACCACAGGTATTTATTGAATCCCTGCTGAAAGATAGCACCTATCCTAATACAAATGGGCAATTATTTTAAATGTTGCTTCTAGCACTTTCCTGCGTGAACAGAAAGCAGCAGCAGATTGATTTTGGTGAGGTACACTCCCATGATTCCACTTCTTGAAAACTGATTGCATCAGACTGGAGGTATAGTAAATAGAGGGCACCTGTCACTTAGGATGGTGCTTTGGGAGCGTGGGCCTTGTGCTTCCATGATCGGGATGCTGACTTTTTATTGTGAGAGTTGGAAGAAATTGTTCTTTTAAGGAACAGAAGTTATAAGGAAACTTGCTTAGAGACAGTGTATTTTTTTTATGGTGAGTTATGTGTTTTGTATATAGGGAGGGGCTAGTAATTTGAGAGTTATAGAATTAAGTAACTTTCAGCCTTGTCATTTTGGAGCAGTACTCAGCAAACCTGACTGTAGGACAGATACAAAATCTTGGGTCTTTACCAGATTTACTGAATTAGACTCTCTTAGGGATAGATTTTAGGAGCCCATATATTTTTTAAGTCCCTCCAAATACCTTGAATGCCTGGTGGATAGCTGTCTGGGAGTCACTGTGTTAGAAAGCTGTCCAAGTAACTGTAACTAAATACTATTTGGAATGGGTGGGGAAAAGTTAAGACTCAAATTTGAGAAGGAACTGAGGACTGCTGTGCACTTTTACTAATTATTTTGGCTAGCTGCTTAACACTTGGCTAACAATGTCTGCTTAGTGGACAAATTTAGTCCTTTTGTTTAGGGTTTGGTTTTGGAGCATTACTATTCCTCTTAACTTTGCCTTTCAACACTGAATGATAATTTTCTCTTTGCCCTTTTGGATTTTTTTTTGTTTTGTGTTGGAGGGTGGGGGCACTTGGGAAAGTGGATAGACTGAAAATTCTTCCAATATAAACTGCTTTAAAGGCTTTCAAAATTTTCTGTCTTTCTGATTTCTATCCTGGCTTAGGCATCTCTCCTGCTGGACAAGAAACAGTAGATGCAAATCTGCAGAAACTCACACAGCTTGTAAATAAGGAATCCAACTTGATTGAAAAGGTCAAGTTTACTTCAATCATTATTTTATAGTAGTTTACTATATTCCCTTCTGCAATTAATGTCATAATTTGGGTTATTCATTAACTTTACCATCTTTAAGTTTTTTTTAAAGAGTTTGGTTCTTCAGAAAGCTGTTTCATATGCGTTTACTAAAGTTGCATACAGCATAGCGTTTGAAACCAGTAGTGGCCTAATTGCTTTGAGGAAAGATCTGAATACTGGGTTTACTCTACCACACAATTAGTATTTTTCAAGTTAGGAGACCCAGAAGCCCAGATTAAAAAAAAAAAAAAGGATAAAACAGGAACACTTTTTGCCTGTTTCTCTGTTTCTGAAGGCTAACATCTCTTGGGATTGTAAGCACTGTGCTCATCCTTTCTGTTACTAATACTGTGATGTCTTTTTCTGTGAACAGTTTTATTTTTTCTCCTTCCTATTCTTCTGTATTCTAGATATTGTCTACAATTTTGTACCATTGTGGATATTTTGCCACTTTGGGGGTGTTCATTTGGTGTGAGAGGTATTGAGGAACTGGGTAGGAGAGAGAGCCAACAAGGGAAGTTTCTAGGGTGATATTAATTGGAAAAAGATAAGAGAGTTATGCATTTTCCCTCCAAGTATCTGATATAATTGCCTTTTTAAAAATACAAATGAATAATACTTCATTCTTTCACAAACTAATGGGGCAATGTGGTCTGATAATACTGGCTAGCAGTTTTTCAGGTCTGAGTAACAGACCCTGTGTTATATGAGCTTTATGTGAGTTATCTCCCTTAATCTTCACAACAGCTATGTGTGAACAGGTACTTTGTCATCCCCATTTTACAGATGAGAATACTTAGGCTTTGAGAGTAGCTTATGTCACTTGCTCACGGTCATTCAGCTGGCAAGAGGTAGGGAATTTGAACCCTATAAATTGAATTCCAGCATGGGCTTTGCAGTTAGTCAGTCATCTAACTCTGAGTGAGATTATGTATCCTTTACTAGTACCCTGACCCTAATAGTTAGGTTTATAACTGCCATTCACTGGAATAATCATTCTTTTTATAGTATTTCATGTGTTGTTAAAACTTAAGAAATGAGTAAAATTAAGCAGCATAATTGTAAGACTCCATTATTAAACTTTGGGTAAGCTGAATGAAAGCAAGTTTGTCTCCATTCTTAGCCCAACCCAGTAGATCTTATGAGAGGAAATATATTCAGTAGTAATGTGGAAAATGGAAAGATTACTCAAGACTGTTTTAGACACTTACCTGTTAGATGAAGGCCATCTAATATAGTCTTCATTTTCTATATGGCAAATTCATGACAGATAAGTAAAGAGAACCGTATGCAGGAAGTGAAACCAAGAGGCCCTGTCACCACTTTCTACATTTCCATCTTCGGTCATCATTAATATATGAGAGAGTTTCTGACCCTGTATCAGGCACTCCCCACCTCCCATTCATATCTGCTCTTCAGGATGTTTCACTGTTTGCTACAAGACATTAAAGCAACAATTCCTATTGGCTATCACTGTTCACCATTTGGACAAAATCTAGAGCTTAAGAAAAGACTTATGCTTGAGGAACTTAGTTTTTGCAAGGAAAAAAAAAGACATCTTAACACGATTGGTACAATTCCCTGGGAATACTTTTGTCCATTTGGAAAATTAAAAGTTAATCTTTTCTTCTCTTTCCTATAAATCCCACACATCTCTGCTGAAACATTTCCTCTATGCTTAATAAAAATATCTTGAGAAGGAGAGTTTTGCTCTGAAAATATTCAAAACTAAGAAAGCCTGCCTATGAAGTGGGTCATAAATGCTACATTCTGTTGGTATTGAGCTTGATACCAGGACTTGAATCTTTCTGTTTGTGGGATACCCTGGTTAAAAGTAGTTTTTTAAGGACTGACTTAGTTGGAAATAATCCCTCTCCTAGTATTTTTTGGGGATGCTAATGTACTCCTTAGGATAAATCTGAAACTCTTGGACATTTTCTCAGTATGCCCCATACTTTTCATTTGTTTCTCTAGAGCTGACTTAGAACTGACCCAGTGTTTGGAATGCCTCTGGATTAGGTCTAAAGAATATCCTTTCTGTCTCTTTTTCTAGCTTTCTTTGGTCTAAATACAGCCTAAAAGAACTGGACTTTTTGAGTGGAGTATAGGCCATTTCCATTGAGGCAATGAAGTATAGTTGAAAGAACAGTAGTGTCAGAACTGGAAGACCGGGGTTCAGACTTCAGCTCTGATACTAGCTTTGTTACCCACTGCAAATTCCTTAACCTTTCTCAGCTTTGTTTTGTTACCCTGTAAATTAGGGAATGACTGTGTCTGCTTCTTTTCTTCACAGTTGTGTTGGGAAGATCAAATGAAGTATTTTACCTGCACATACTTTGCAAACTGTGGACTTAGTGTAACAGAATTACTGCTTTTATACTTAATATTAGAAAACCTCTTAAGCCAAATAGAGCTCTGGTTGAATTCAGTAGGATATTCATTTTGTGGAATTACTATAATTTTGCAAAGGCATTACGAATAAGCCGTATTGCTTGTATACATATACTGAGTCAGCTGGTGTTTGATGTATGACATTTAGAATTCTTGAGAGATTATTTCTGAGAAAAAGGTTTCTTTAGCAGTCATAGAAACATATGGTTCTGTACTCCTCTAGGCTTTTAGTTTGGATGGGAAGGCCACAGTCTACATAAATGGTACCACAGTCATTAATCAGATGTACCTTTTGTACTTTGCACAGATGGATGACAATCTTCGCCAAAGCCCTCAGCTTCCTCCTCGGAGACTGCCAACACTTAAATTGACTCCAGCAGAAGAAAGTAATTCCTCACATCGGCCATCACCCTGACAGTCATCACAGTTTCGTCCACAGTCATATGACTGCTGCAGTAATCTCTTACACTAAGTAGGTGAAGGAAAAAGGGAAATGCCATTAATAGGTATAAGGGAAACTCTAAAATGAAAGCAACTTTCTATGACATCTATTTTTTTTTAATTAGGAAGCTTATATTTTAGCTTGGCAATGCACTTTAAAGTGAATGATACATGAACTTGGGTGGAAAAGAAAACACATTGTACTGTTAGTAACAAAAACCTGCCTTAATCTTGGCAGATACTTGCTCTTGGTTCACATGTTGCTGAACAAAAGCTACAATTCTGTTCTGAATGTGCACTCAATTTATTCAAATTAGTTTATCAGCTTTCATAGAACAGTCTGAATATCTAATATGAAGCTGTTTGGCTAAGGCCTTCTTTTGTTTAGAAATCTGATGCCTATTTTAGACACTGGGAAAAAATATTATTCTAATAATCTAATATTACTTCAGTAGAAAAGCCTGTATTTAAAAAGCAATGAGGAATGTGTTTTTTAATTATGCTCTCATAAGTCTAATTTTTTGGGGGGTTAGTACTTATATATAATATATAAATATTAAAGGTGGTTACATACAATATTCATCTAGCTATATGTACTTCATTATAACAATAGTATTTGCTGATGTGCTCAATATAAGTTAGCAAGGGCTCTTTTAGTTTATTGGGAGAATATGGCAGCTTTAGATGTGTTTGAGGAACATCTTTAACTCTAGTCATCTCTTTCTTGGATTGATTTCAGAAGAACTGAATGTGTTGGTCATTGTTATTATGCCAGGCTGTAAAGTCTTACTGAAACTTGCCCAGTTGTTAGACACTACTCAGGAGGAGCCACCACCAGAGTAATAGAGGTCCCTACTGTGGGCCTGGCCCAAGTTCACCATGGTTGGCTCAGATCAGTGTTCTGTCATAAAAATCATATCATGTCAAAAGCTTTATGACCACTAATCATTTTCCATGTAGTTTAACTACAGTGGGAAGATTCAGTTGGAATAACCAGAAGTAGCAGTAGATTTTTAAGAATGTTTTCTATTTATTGGTTGTTGAACTTTTAAAGGATTTGCTGTGCAGGTAATTTTACTTAATAATATAATCTTGCTTATTTTAGGGGCTGAGGTGCTTCAGTTGTCCTAAAACCACTTCTGGGGTTCTTAAAATATAGGACCATATTTTTGATTAGCGTCTTAAAAGATAACTGTGGTGCTCAGCAAGTCTTATCACTTCCTGCAGAAACCCCCATGTTACGAAAACAGCTTTGTAGTTGAGACGTGTCTAATTTGAGCTGAGTGGAGCTCAGCTGTCTTTGACCTGTATCCTCCCAATTTGTTCTGTATTTAGGTAGCTATTTATACAGGAGTTCTTAAGTCATTGTAGGCAATTTTTCTTCAAAGTTTTAACTAAGTGAGAAATGAGGTGGTCTTCAAAATCTTGTTCATCTGTTTGGATGCATTTAGGGAAAGGAACAAATGAGTTTCAAGTTACTTCTGCAACTGGTTGGGGAGAGAGAGCAAGAGTGTGTGTGTTCTGTGTTTGTGAACTTGATTCCAGCAATCTGAAATCTGTGTGAATATTCTATACTGAAAATCATGACCATAGGACTGTTGTCCTCTAGGATTGATGTATATTAAAGAAGGTGGTTAATCAGACATCTGTTTATGCTTTAATCAGAGTTAGTCATTTTCAATTATGATTTATATTAAAACTTCCAAAAACCATTTGAAGTGGCTTACAGTTGTCCAACACATGTAAAGCAGGACAATTTAAATTAGTTTTAAAAAACTAAAAATTCTGTAGAAGAAAGAGCTATACTAACAATAACAGGTTCTAAAACTGAATGGTAAAGTTCAAGTTTCTCCATGGGCAAAGTCAAAAAATAATACTGGGTTATGTAAATTTTTCTGTCAATAAACCTACTAATGTCCCTGAGTAAGAAAAATATATTTAACTTTTTACAAGATTATGGGAGATCATGTTCTTATGACATAGACCAGCTGATAAGCATACTGTGATGTTTCATATGTTGACAGTTTAACAGAAGGTGCCATCTTAGAATAACAAGTATATCTATGTCCTTTTTTAGTAGAGAAGATGACTTGAATCAGTGTATTTTCTTTTGGTCATTCCTGCTTTGAACTGCTTTTAGTCTTACACTGAGAGGCCACTATGCTTCCAGACTGCCTTTCCTAAGATGCAAAATGTGATTTAGATAAGTGAGATTTTTATGTGTTGGGTTACTTGGGTGAGCTTTTTTTGGTATAAGCCAACAAGATGAGCACAAACCACTCCAGGGATCAGCCCCACATACAGGAAGCTTTTGGAAAGGAACAACTTTCCAGACTGGGCAGAAAGCTTGTGATCAGCCTGTCAGGATATATTTTGGATAAAGTTTGAGTGTGCTGAGGTAAATGATCTATAGTCTCAGAATACTCTGGACCACTTGCTTTTGGAGGGGATGGTGGAGAATATTATGATAAAAAGGACTATGTTTGTTTTTATATTTGTTAGTAGTATAGGACTAGAAAATTGGTCAGATAATTCCCATGAGAAAAATATCCTCCATCAACAGACTCTCAGCAGTCATCCAAAGACCAACCATTCTTACAACACTAAAGAAACTGTAAAAAATGTTGAGGCTAGTCATTCCTTCATAGTGGTTTTTTTCCCCTACAAAGTTTGGCACTGACAGATCAGATTTCAACTTAGGTATGTTTGTATTATTTTTTGGGTATTAGAGGACTGAAGATTTTACATTAAATCCAAAGCATTTTGATTTCCATTTGTAATTTTTCTTCATTTAATATTGCTAGTGATGGTAACATGAAAAATAAGAGGAAGCTTACTTCAATGAGAGCTAAGTTAAAATTTTCAAAAGTTTATAAAAATGGAAAAAACTGGACATCAATAGAAGCAGAAATTTGTAACCATGATAGTATCTCAGAAAATCATTTTTTTTAAAGATAGCTACATGTGATAAAGTGGTATTTAAAGTTGGTAGTTTATTTTCTTAGAGCCTCTGCCAAGAATATAAATTTGCCAGGCTTTTTAGATTTTTTGAGTTGCTCATAAACTGTCAAAAATTTTAACCCTTTAACACCAAAATATAAATGCTTAAATGTAAAAACAAGAAGCTGAGTGATGTATATACAGGATTTCTCTGTACTATTTTTATACTTCTTGTGAGTTTTTAATTACTTTAGAATAAAAAGGTTTTAAAAAGTAAATCTAGTATATTATCATTATCTACATAAACTACAATTTAAAAAAATGCTCCAAAGACAGTATTGAGTATTCAGTTCCAGATGAATAAATATATAATATAAATTAAATATAATTTATTTCATTCTTGAGTTTAAAGAAAAAAACCCACATTTGTAACAAATGATTATCTAAAGATCTATTTTGCCTTACCAGAAAAGAAAAAAACCATCTAAAACCAAGAACTCCTTTTCCTTAGTATATAAAATGCTCTATGATTTTATGCTAGTAATTATAACTTTTTCTTCCTATGGTCCCTGGGTTTACTTTTGAGGGTAAAATGTTTTAAAACAAGTTCTGTGTCTCCATGTGGTAGTCCTTTGCTTTGCATGTGTTCTCGCTGCACAGTGGCGAGATGAATCCTAGGACCAGCTGTAGTGAAGAAGATGCAGTACGTCTGCACACTTTTCGTTTGTAGCTCACTGGGATTTAGTAATTGGCTTTGTCTTGGTTCGGCTGTTTATGTAATTGAAATCCTGAGCAGAGCTGCAGAGTATAATTTGAGTTTGATTATGGTCTTTTGTATATGTTGTTGGCATTAAGAATTATCTTCTACCTTTTTTCTTGTTTGGTCCTGTGGAATTTACATTTATGCTTCAGTGTTTTCATATTTCTTAAACAGATTATTAATAAATTTGTTGCTAGTTTTATATAACCAAAAGTCAGTAGTCTTATTGTCTGAAATTGAAGTTTCATTAGATCTTCAAAATGCTGATTTGCATAGATACAGAGATGGTTTTCTGTTTCTTAAGAGTTTGTAAAATACTTGAGCCCAAAATTCTTGTTGATGTGTAGTGTTTGCTAGGAGCCCAGTTTAATTGTCCTATACTTAAAACCATTGCTATTGAGGTGGAGAGGTATTCTTGGAATACAAAAATCATGCAAAAATTGTATGTTCCAGACAAGGAGGCCAATGATTACTGACAAGAATTAACATTCTTGAACAATGATACAAAGAAGGGTAACTTTGAGTTGGATATTTGTAAATGAGGGACTGTTTCTATAGAAGAGAATTCAGAGTAAAAGTTATTTCTTTAAAAACAATACAGGAAAGTAAATCTTTGTACCATTATTATTTATTTGAAATTATACTGTATGATATTTTTTATTAAGGTACATTGATATAAATCTTATGAAGGTTTCAGATGAGCAACATTGTGGTTACTACATTTGTCCCTGTTATTAAGCCCCCGCCCCTAATACCCATTACAGTCACTGTCCATCAGTGTTATACTGTATGATTTTTAACAGCCATCTTTTAGTTCCTCAAAGAATTAGTTCCTAAAGGTGCATTTTGGCAGAATATTTTGTAATTGAGTGAGTAGGGGGTTCTATAGTCAAAGAAGTTTGGGAAATGGTGGGTTAGACAAAGTTAAATTACTGTAGGCTTTTCAGAACCTTTGATATGCCATTGTGTGCTTTCTATCTCCAAGAAGGGCCTGTATTTTATATACCATTTCCCTAATTTATTTTTATGTGTTTTTTTTTTCTTTTAAGTTGGTGTCTTGAGGGATTTGTGTTCTGAGAAATACACTTAGGGAAGTGCTGTGCTAGAGTGCTTTTGCTTGACTGTGCTCCCTGCAAAGGTTTCTGTTGAAATACCCCCTAGTGAGTGGGGATAGAATGGAAGAGACAGCTCAGGACTCCCCTGGATTGTGTCATTGACAGCGGGGCTGGGTGGCTGTAGGTTTAGAAGGTTAGTTACTTGGGCGCATGTGATGCCCCTGGTCAGTCTAGCCCATTTCCCTTGAATCCCACTTGGCTTGGTACAGCTGGACAGGAGTGTGAACTAGTGGTTTCGGAGAACTAAGTGGTTCCTAGGTGTCTATGGATCAGAAGGAACCAACTTAGAATTCCAGAACAGTTCCTCAAATCATTTTTGGCTGTGCTTTAAAGGTGTCAGAAAGGTGATGGTATTTAAAGCACTAAAATCACATACAAGCTGGTTTATATATATATTTATATATGTTATACACAGTGTTGTAGAAAGTTTACAGTTGTTTCAGTGATAAAGTAAAAGAAGTTTAATATTTTCAAGTTCTATTCTATTACTGAATACATGCTTTAAACAAGGATTGCATGTTTGTGCATTTTCCAGGATGAGGGTTTACAGTTTTCATTAAAAATTCTCAAGTGTCTATATCCCAAAAAATGTAAATGTCACCAGACCTCCAAATTTCAGAGGACTTAAGTATATTTCATTGCATTTCAAAGTATAAAACCAGACCATGAATCAGGCATAAGGATGCTTTTTGTTTGTTTTTGCAGTGTATACAGTTTCCTATTGGGAACTCCACAGTTTAGATGTGTTATATGGTAGAGAGCTTGCTTTTGGGTTTTGAGTTGTGCTGTAATAGTAAACACCTAACCATATGAAAAGGAGTTGGATCTTTGTTCTGATTCTTCAGTTTCCTCATTTAAATTCAGAGAAATGCCTTTTAATCACTTAGTTTATATATCCCAGATACTTGGAAATCAAGAAAAGTGACTTGTCAGAGTTTGCGTTAGTCCTCAGCAAGTCATGCACCGTAGAGAGAGTTGTGCTGGCCATTCATTCTTTGGACTGTTGGCTACTTCTCTTGCAATGCAAGTGTCATTATTTTTTGAAGGAAGGGTGAACTCAAGCTTTTATGTTAATTGCATAAAGATGAGCTTTTTTCCTCTTCTGACTTGGTATTTTATTTTGCAAAATAGGAGATAATGTTTTTCCATTTTTCTACTCATCTTGAAGTGTAAGTTTGAGGTGTTAGTAATGTAACTTTAGCTTTCTAGAAGATTGACAGCAAAGAAAATAAATAAGATACATATGTGTACACATACTGGTTTTGTTCCAAGCAAGCCTGTTTTTGACTGATAAACATTTTAAACATCTATTCTAGTGTACAAATAGTATAGTTTTGTTACAAAGTCAACAATCCTAAAATAAGCAATGTTGGTCATAATTTAAATATTCTGGCCTTTCCTAGTGTGAATGTATTTTACTCAGAGACTCTGTATAAATACTCACAAGTGATGATCATGATCAGTGTTGTAAAGAATTTATTCTGATAAATGAGAAACTGGATATAATGTCAGAATAGCTATTTTCACAATAAAATCTCAAATTGCCTGAATGTTTATTATTTCCTGATTGAATGTTATTTATTCCTTGAGGTAAGTATTTTCACTGGGAGGAATTTTTGGGTGGCTGAAATAGTTACTCAGTGCCAGGACTGAGCTAGGTTGAGGGTTGTTCTTTTTAAACTTTACGTTCTGTGACACACTGAAATCAGTCGTGTTCTTTCTACCCCCTGCTAAGGGAGGTTGAGAGGCTGCTCCCAAGGCAGCTGGTACATATATGCCCTCAGACAGCTCACCCAACTTTCCAGGGCCACAGTTATCTCATCCTTTTGCCTCTCTAAGTTTCCTTACAATTTTCCCTTTTGTCCACCTGGATAGCCCAGCAACTTTCCATGTAAGTGAATGGAGGACACTGAGAAAGGTTTTAGCTGTGGGTAGGGGCAATATTCATGTTTTTTGCTGCCTTCTTTTAATGGGTAGGATATATGGGCACAGAGAAGCCTTTTATAGAGCTATTAGTTAAGTGAGGGCAGGTTCCCTTAGGGATTGTCTTTGTTAGTAAATTACTATATTTTAATTGAAGTATAATTTACATACAATAAAATGCATTGATTTTCCAAGTAGAGTTGTTCAAGTGTGTAAGTATTTCTCTCACATGAGAAGCCGGCTACATCTTTGTTGGTATTTCTATCCCCTGAGAACACAAATGTTAATTGCATATGAACTTTGGGTTCCAGATGAAAGGTCTTTGTCTGGATTGAGGTGGTTAGTAATGATTTGCTTTCTGCAAGAGAGCAGGAAAGAAGAATTTGTATTGTGGAATAAAGCAATTCTTTTGAGGAAAGACAACTATTTGGAGTCACAATGCTGAAAACCTTACAACAAATATCTTCAGAAAATTTAGTTCTTAATTGTTCTGCTCAGAGGGCTTGACTTCTGTCTGGGACTCTTGGATGTTCAGAAACTCGAATGATGTCCTTCAGAAGATAAGCAGTGTTCTGTTTTTCCTGTAACACTAATAGCAGCTTTTGGTAGGAAAACTTTCAAGATTTGCCATATTGGGATCTTGTCCTAAGTGAATCTCCACTGGAGAAAAGTTAACGTAAAGGGGAACGACTAGGGCCACTGAGTGTTCCCCATATGTTTGAGGCAAGTGTATATGGGATGAAGGAGGAAATGGTGGTGGAGAAATGAAAGGATTTGCCTTACTCAAGATCATCCTGTAATTTAGTTCCTAGTTGTAGAGCAAAGGGGAAACTAGCCCCTTCTGGATTGACATGAGCTTAAGGGGAAAGAATGAGAAACCATGGTCCATTTCTCCAGGTACATTAGTCACACTTTAGGAATGCCTTAGACACTGTGATTAAGAAATGAAGACAGGTGTGCATCAACAAAGACATTTCTAATTTTTGACACAGTCAACTTGAGGCTCCAAAAGTTGCACTTTTCCAAATGAGAGAGAGGCTATTATATTTATCCTACTTTTGAGTGAGTCAGTGAAAAGAATAGGGAAATTTTTACATTTATAACTATAATTAAGGGTTTGTTCCTCAGATCCTAGTTTGGGGAAGGTGGTCCTTTCAAGAACTCTAATTTTGAAAAAGCTAAAAAATCAGGTATAGAAGAAAGGATGACACTTTCCAAATATCCAGTTAAGAGTAAACAGATTTCAGTTTTATTTTAAATGCAAGAAGCAAACTGACTTATTTGAAGACTGTCAGATTGTACCTGTTCTGATATGTGTTGCCCCAGAGTTCTCCACGAGGGGAAAATTGCCTTTTTCATCTAATGAACATGATTTACATTTGGTAATACATATAACACCCAATTCACAGAGAGACTGCTGCTAAAATGGCTTAGGAAATGGTGGGAAAGGATAGGCTAGATAAAGAAGTTAAGGGGAAAAAGAACCAAAGAGAAAGGAACTCTAGATATGGTGTAATTTGGGCTATGGGGATGAAGATAGATTGGATGTAAAAAGCCAATGGATTAGGAAGAACCTGGCCCAACACAATATTCCAAATTGGTGATTTTGAGCAAATTATTTGATTCTTAGTCTGCATTACTGTTTATTGCAATGCAGCAGAACAACTGGATCTGAATGTATGAATAGTTTTATGTGTTTGGTAAAATTTAGAAGCTGCCAATAGAAGGAGCCCCATAACAGCTCTTATGAATAACCTCTGTTAACATAGTGGTATCTGTTCTTTCCATTCTTATTTCCTATATACTCACACACAAACACAATCCTGTATATATTGTAATCCTATAGTATATGCCATTCTGTAACATGCTTTTTCACATAATATTCAAGAAATCTTATAGGTCATTACATATTATATGGCAATTTTAAAGACTGTACAGTTTCACTGTATGGACGTAGCATTGTTTGTAATGGTCCTTGTTACGTGTTAGTAAATAGTTTCTCAGGGAGACTGCACCATTTTGTATTCTCTGCAGCTCTATGTAGGAGAGCCTGTTACTGCAACTCCACCAGCACTGAGTATTCTTTCTCTTGTCGTCAACTTGCTAGGCAGAAAATAGCAGTTTTATTTATTCTATATGTATTTCTTTGATAACTGGTAAGGTTGAATATTTTCTCCATATGTCTGTAGTCCATTTGTAGTTCTTTTGTAAGTTTTCTATTCATATTCAACATAATAGACAAATTACTTCCCTGAAACCCAGTTTTCCAAACTGTAAGATGCGTGGTATAAATGGGATAACACATTGCAGATCCATAATATGGCAGGTGCTCAGCAGTGTTAGTTCCCTCATGTTTTTCCTGGATTAAGAGCTACTAGAGGATAGAGACTCTTTTCTTTATTGTATCCTGGCACCTACATCAAAGCAATGAAAAAGGTTATGAGGAATGAAGAATAGATAGGATTTGAAAATATTTTGAGTATACCAGGAAAAGGAATGAGAAAAGTTGAAGCCAACTTCCAATGACTCAGCAGTGAGAAAACTGATGGGGTCCTCAGAAGTTTACTATTAAAATGGAAGCATTTGTTTTTTTCTTAGAACTTACTAAGAAACAATTTCTTATAGACTGAAGGGCTAAATGACATTAATAATTAAGAGTCTTGATTAGTTCAGTGATTTTTTTTTTGTAAGCTATAGAGTATTTAAAGTATACTAGGGAAAAGGACTAAAGGAATTAAAATTTTTGTATAGTGAATAGTAATTTTAACTTATTTCCACATATTAGATTTGCCTAGACTAGGAGTGAATGTGAAATAATAATCATATTTAAAAATGATAATATGTTAAAGTAACTTAGAGCTGTGATGCCTCAAATGGAAGAAAGAAAATTGGTGTCTGGTCCTGTTTTATTCCACATGTCTTGTGATCATGGGGGAGAAGGAGTCAGTGGTTTGTTAATGAGATTTGCAGATGGCTTTAAATTGAGAGGTATTGTAAACAGCAGGAATGACTGAGAAATGATACAAAAGGAGCTGGAAAGGTTAGGAACATGGACAGGAAATCAAATGATTCAGCCTGAAGTAATGCAAGCCAATCTGACATCTGGGGCCAAATAAGAAATTCAGATATGTCATGAAAGAGACAAACATTGAAAATAGTCATCTCAATGGAGATTGGGGGTGGGTACTAGAGGAGAACAAGAGAAGTAGGACACAGGAACTAATGGCTGTTGAATGCCTACCCAATAACAGTGATTAGGTACTTTCCACGTTGATTTCTTTTTGACCAAGGTTAAGCAATTTTTGAGGATTAATTATGCACAAGAGCTCAGAAGTTAATGAAATGAGCTCAGCCTCTCTCTAGTTGATCCTAAAGGTTGTTAGAGTGTTATCAGTACGGAGTACTTTGTGGAAATGCCCTGGAATTTCCAGAAAAGCTCTAGTAAGGAAAGATCATTTGCCACATTCCTGCCTGGGCATTTGCCATTCAGTGGGTGTTTCCAAGAATTCTTGGAGCAGCTTCCTCCAGGCTATTCTGGTTGCCAGCAGCATGCCAGGGGCCCCACAAAACCTTTGGTCAGTTAGCACAGGAAAGATAAGATGTGCCTCACAATGGCTACCCCAAAGTGGTCTGTTCCTTCCAGCCATGCCCCTCTTCCTCTCTCTTCCAGTGCCTTCACATTAACCTCTAGCAACACAGAGTTCCCATCCCCGCTCTTTGCTTGTGTTTTCTACTATCCCTATCCTCTCTTGCTATGAAGTCCAGCAGTCAGTTGTATTTCCTTTAGTTCTTAATAAACTAAATTGGATTTACTGGTGATATTGGCCTAATTTAGGAATCTCCAACATTTAAAAAAATGGAGCCACTACTCATTTTTTTCAGTGACAGTGGCTTGAGGAATTGGGTCATAGTGCAAAGCCTGTGGAGATGAGGAAGAGGACCAAATTGTTCTAGGGAGGACAAAACTTAAGTAGGCGATGGTCACTGTATCTATTCCCCTTTCTGAGAAGACCAGAACGCTGTTGCAAAGAATACATTGAAAGAGTGAACAGGAAAGGAGAGGTGTCAAAGACATTGCTAGTAGATCCAGTTCAACTTGGGAGATCTGTTAATGGCTCATACTGGAAGCTTGAAGCTGAATGTCACTGATCCCCAACAATATTTGCCACATAACAGGCACCCCTTATGGCTAAAAAATTCATTCATTTATTCAACAAGTATTTACTGAGTGCCCCTTATGTTCCAGGCACTGTTGTTGGTATTGAGGCTACATCAGTGAACAAAACGGATCTCTGCCTTTGTGGTACTTAAATTCTAGCAGAGGGAACTTATTATATACTAAACAATATAGTAAAAGGTTAGAAGTGCTATGGAAAAAAAGCAAAGCAGAAAAGGGGGCTTGAAGTGCTGAGGTTGGGGACCAGTGACAGTATTAAATATGGCAGGATGAGCTTCATTGTGAAGATGACATTTGAACAAAGCCTTGGCAGAAGTGTTGGTTCAGCCTTCTGGATATCTGACAAAGAACATTTTAGGCAGAGGGTGCAGGGAGCCAGTGGTTGTAAGATAGGCTTGTCTGACATGTGTGAGAAACAGCAAGTAGGCCAGGGTCTCTGGAGCAGAGTGAACAA